TTTTTTTTTGTGTACAATCGGTGCCAAGACTATAATGGGAATTTCACCAAGGCACTTAGGTGGTGCCCAAGAATTATAGAAGTGTTTGAATTAAACTTTTTCAGGGACGAGTTGAAAGGTTTTTTTAGGTAAATAGACATCTGCATTATCCCTTGGATTCCAAGTAGAAGATATTTTCCCTGATTAAACACAGACTTAGATGCATTGGTAATGCAGAATATATAGTTTTTAGTAGCAGGACATTAACAGCTTGATATAAAAACGCATTTTTGTCAGATAAATATATCCTATAACATAACCACAAACTTCACCCCTGTCCAAATTCTCTTCTCAATGAATTACTTTAATCAAATTATGAAGATTGAAAAGAACATGTATATCACCGGTCGTGATTTTCTTCAACATGCGGAAACTTCTATTTCAATAAAAAATATGATTTCCAAACCGTATCACTTTCAATTCCCAGTCTTCGGAAAGAAAAATCATTTTTTTTTTCAACATAGATAATAGTTATTTTTGTATCTAGAATGCGAAATGCTACTTTGGTGATCGAGATCTGATTTTTTTAACGAGGCGTAGCCGAGTTAAAAAAGTAGTAGAGATGACCAAAGTATTTCGCGCTCGAGTTGCAAACAACATTTTTTCTACAAACGTCAAAAAATATAGTTCTAAAGTAAATATATGCTCAGATTGATATGAAAAATGGTGTTGAACTGGCTTGAAAGGCCTCTCCCTATCCTACCTAGGTACGCACGATGTTCCACGAACATAATAGGAATTTCCTTTCATGCGGTCCAAGAGATAAAACAAGGTTATTGTTGATCATGCAGAAATAAATGATTTGCTCCATTGAGGACCATAAAGTTGAAATATAAATATCTCATATATTTTACATAACAATGCGCGAAGTAGGTACTTCGCGCACTGTTTTACTTCGCGCATTGTTTTGTGCAAGGTATATCGGTGTAACGTAGGAAACTGAAAAAAAGTGTCACTTCGCAATGTGTTATCAATGCGCGAACCTTGTCATTTTTTGACGTTTGTAGAAAATAGTTATTTTTGTATCTAGAGCGCGAAATGCTACTTTGGTGATCGAGATCTGATTTTTTTAACGAGGCGTAGCCGAGTTGAAAAAAAAGTCGAGATGACCAAAGTATTTCGCGCTCGAGTTGCAAACAAAATTTTTTCTACAAACGTCAAAAAATATAGTTCTAAAGTAAAAATATGCTTAACTTGATATAAAAATAGTGTTGAACTGGCTTGAAAGGTCTCCCCCTATCCTCCCTAGGTACGCACGATGTTCCACGAACATAATAGGAATTTCCTTTCATGCGCTCCAAGAGAAAAAACAAAGTTATTGTTGAACATTCAGAAATAAATGATTTTGTGGATGTCTGCTCGATTGAGGACCATAAAGTTGAAATATAAATATCTCATTTATTTCACATAACAATGCGCGAAGTAGGTACTTCGCGCACTGTTTTACTTCGCGCATTGTTTTGTGCAAGGAATGATGGTAACGTAGGAAACTGAAAAAAAGTGTCACTTCGCAATTTGTTATCAATGCGCGAACCTTGTCATTTTTTGACGTTTGTAGAAAAAATATATTAAAAATAATCAAATGTTCGAAATTTGTATTCGTGTTTTGTGTCCTGAATTATATATTTTTGGTCGTCGGTAGAATAGTATACATAACTCGTTTGAAAATGTGTTTCATGCACTCGTTACATTTTTGTACTCGTCACTACGCGTCGTCGTGTTGAATATCAGTTGTGCGAAATATGTCAATTTCCACACTAGTTATGTATTTATTACAAGTAAAACATTTTTGACATCTATTTCGTAATCTACACAGTTTTCGAAAAAAATACAGAAGGACAAATGATAATCTGAATAAGACGTACCAAAGTTCGATTTTTCATTTAGAAAACTTCAGATGGAACCATAAAACATGAAAAAACATTCAAAACTGACTCACCCTGTATATGCAATGCAATATGACAGTATTTTTCTCTCTCCTCAATAATTGTTGTTTTCTTCAAATTATTCATTAGGTACTCAATTAATATTTATTCAAATGAATGAATCAATTGTCCAGGGAAACAATCATATTTCGTAATAATTCATATTCAGATCACTGACTTCCATGTATTCATCTGTATTATGAAACATGGAACTGCATTCAATCGATTTCCTAGTATTTGATTTTCATTATCATGTCATTCATTAATTACTGGCAAATATATACTGATATTATTATTAATCTAATTTGATGGATTTTACCAGTTGACAAGACATCGGAATATTGATGAATTGAAACTTTCATGCTAAAAGAGAAATAAACGAATACATCTTGAATTTGAGTATACACACCCCATTGGTGTGCGGTTATGTGGGGAGGGGGAAAGGAGGCAAATTTTTTGTAAAACTGTAGTAGAGCTTATTATTCACGGTAAATTTTTTCATCAGATCCAAATCATCACCCCCAAAAAAAACCATTCATATATTGGTGGTGGACGGTGTATCGTCTGATATCATTGGCATCAATTCCGGCGTTCCACAAGGATCAATTTTGGCACCAACATTATTCCTGCTTCATATCAATGATCTGTTGGGAGTAAGAACTTGCCCCATACACAGCTTTGCAGATGATAGTACCCTCCATACTGCGTTTTTTTTTTTTTTTCTCTCCTACCTTTTAATGGCCATGGACATTAGTCCTTCAGCCACACACAATTTAAATTTTTCGTTTATATTTCAATATTGTTTTTTGTTATGAATTTGACCAATATGTCAAAAATGTTTTTGTCCCCTGTAGTAAGCAATACGTTTACTGTTGTCGGTAGCTGAGCCCCGACCTTCACAAGATCTTCAAAGAGATCATTTCTAGGAAATTTTCTGCAGCTAAAAATTATATGATTTAGATCCGCAATTTCATTATCTATGTTACATAAGGGAGAATCTATCACCCCTATTTTATTCAGATGATATGGAAAACATCCATGATTTGTTTTCAATCTCGTCATAATAGTACAGTACTTTTTATTTGCTTCATGATCGTAAATATAATTTATTTTATTAGGCACTTCTTTATGTATCCTAAAATATGAGCTATTTGAATTTTCTGTTATTTCTCTCCAGTAATTGCCCCACTCAATATAAATATTGTTTTTGAATAAGTGAAATAGATCTTTATAACATGGAATGTTAAGGAAGTTATTGCATGAGGTAGCATCTTTTGCAGCTGCATCTGCTATCTCATTTCCGTAAATACCACTATGCCCTTTTGTCCATATGAAAATGACTTGGATGTTCTTCATTTCAAATTGATAAATTGAGTTCTTTATCTCACAGATGATAGAGTTCTCTCCATACTGCGTTCTCTTCCAGAATTCCCATTTCTTCCCAGGAAACTAAGAACTCACGGCACAGGCAGGTCGATGCTGTCAATGAAGATCTTGCTGAAATCCCAGCCTGGGGAACATACAACCTAGTTGAATTCAACGCCACCAAAACTCAAGCCTGCATTTTCTCTAGAAAGGCGGAACTCAGTATGCCCGATATTGTAATGTCTGGCTCCACCATCCCCATCAAGCCCACCATATATATGCTCGGTATTTCCATCAGCAACACTCTTTCATGGGATAATTTTGTCAGATCCATCGCAAAAGCTGCTTCACAAAAACTCGGATTCTTGTTCCGTGCGGAAAGCTACTTTACACCTCAACAGCTTCTCATGATCTATAAAGCGCAGATACGGTCTGTTCTAGAATACTGTTCCCACATATAGGGTTCAGCACCAAAACATACGCTGATGCTCTTAGATTACATCCAGAGAAGAGCCATTCGCCTGGTGGGTGACGCCACACTCACTCACTCTTTGACATCATTGGAACACCGTAGAAAGGTCGGCGACCTTTCACTTCTCTATCGATACTTCCACGGGAAATGTTCTTCGGAAATCTCTGCTATCATCCCTTCACTAGCAATACCAATCAGACGAACTAGACAAGCCCAGTCAGCACATCCTTTCGTTGTCAACCTCGAAAGATGTCGAACAGCTATCAAGACTCCTTCATCCATAGAACGGCTAGGCTCTGTAATTCATTGTCTGTGGAAGTATTCCCAACAACATATAATCTCCAAAAGTTCAAAAATAATTTCAATACCTACCTCCTGTCCCTATCCTCCCTAGGAACGCACGATGTTCTTTGAACATTATAGGGATTTCCTCTCGTGCGCTCCAAGCGATAAAAAAAATTTCAGTCTCAAGAGCTGATTTCAGTAAAAAAATGTTAAAATCACGCTTTTCTTGAATACACCCCAATATCTCTGTTATTAATGATGCATTTTTCTCGAAATTTTGGTAGTTATTGAATGTTATAAAAATGAAGTGCTTGGCATTGTGAAAATATTCATTAACCATTGGCGTGCGGTGGTGGGGTGGGTGAGAAATTTTTGTTTTAGAAAATGGATAGATCAGATTCAGTATCAACATCCCCAAAGATCCTTCAATTCATATTCTCGAAATCTCAAGAGCCAATGGTAGGTAAAAATGTTCAATATGCCAAGTAGGTACTTCATTCTTTTAACATACAATCACGATCAAAATCTCAAGAAAATCGTATCATTGTAACTGATAAATCAGGGTGTACTCATGAAAAGCGGGACACATGCAATGTATTTACCTATTTGTGAAGAGAAGAGAAAGATCTTTCACTGGATTGGAAAATATACAGGGTGTTTCATTTAAAAAGCTAATTTGGACTATTTTTCATCATTTTGCGATTCACATCCGTTCGTTTTAGGAGTGCCAAAAGATAGTATTCGAAGTTTTGGTACACCTCGTATAGTTAAAGCTGTAGGTGAGGGTCAAAATATACGGAGACACCCAGTTACTTTGTTCGGAATCTTGAGAAGTCATCTAATTCTTTGTTATTTTCAACGTTGCGCAAATAATATTTCATCGAAAAAGTTCACGATTTTCTTTGTTTCCTCAGGACTACAACGATGACATACGTCAAGAGCAAATGTGGGAAATGCAGGTGCTGTCCAGCCAGAAAAACAACAACAACAAGACACCGGAAGAACCGCAGCCAGACGGCCCTGAAGACAGACTCAATGGAGGAGAAGCTGGAAGCACACCAGGAGAACAGACTCCCCAATCGGAAGAACATCCAGCTATGAGAGGAGTACACACATCAGGTAAGATTGTGGCAAAGATGAAGCAATCATCCAGAAACGGTTTTCTCTGTACCTTATTCCCATATCTCTTCAAAATATTTTTCATTCATTTTTCATTTATTCATTGTACGGGTAACCTCCATCATAATAAAATACAAACCATGGATAACATCTACGTTGTTACTGAGGAAGTTTAACTAATTAATAATTATAATATACATTGCATATATCAAACTATGAATATAATATGAAATGACTCCCGCAATAGTAATTTTCCTAACAAGTGCGGAAAGTGATTCTTTCCCGCACGTTACTGCCGTTGACACGAACGACGCGAAGCGGAGTTCGGGCAAGCAGTCGAGTGCGGGAAAGAAACTTTCCGCATGAGTTAGGAACAATATTTTTTCTACCTATTACCTGATACCTATTCTTCATTCCGTTTTTTCATTTCTTTATTGTTGCACCATTCAATAAAACGCGTGTATAGCTTCTCATACTTCGTTGGTGATAACGGCGCATCTGTATCAAATCCCTATAGCTAGAAGTTTTTGATCACATATTGTGAATCGAAAATGACAGTAACGCTGTGTCTGTCACTTCGACAATTTCAAACTTATTTGAGGTTTGATTGGCATGACAAATTGACGTTTCCCGTCAGATCAATCCAAATCTATAGGGGGATTTTTATAATAATCAATTTTTATTTCTCAATATTTCTTAATTTTTACAATAAATAGTGCAATTTGATGGATGATTCTGAACATACATACTTAATACTGCAACAAACAAACTTAAACTTTTATATTCCATCACCAACCACTTATATTACTAGCGATTTTATCATATCTTTGTTTTCCCGCACTGTTGCGGGAAAATGACACTTCCCAAACTAAATTGCGTGCGGGTATAGGGTGAATCACGCACGCTTGTAGAAAAAAGAAATTATATATCAAAATGCCTATCATCCACTGATTATACATGAAAACTTATATGTAATAATGATGCTCACAATGCCCTCAATATATAACTTTTGATTGCAGAAAGAGTTATGCCTGTTATCTCCATATTCTTCTCATTCACCAATCTGAGTGTACGATCAATAGGAGAATGCATACCATAGTTAGAACGATGAAAATGTGTGAAATCAATGATATATTTTTCTCAGTGTATATAATGGTGTTATTTCAGGAAAAGAATTTTGAAGCATCGAATACCAAAGGCATATTTGTATATTTGGGTCATCTGCGACACAGTGGAAAAACAACTAACCATTGTAATTAGCCGCCATCTCCAATTTAGAAAAAATCTCAAAGTGGTCCATAGTAAATTCAATAGGAAAAGAAGCAACACAAAGTGGTCGACCACACTCTATATAAAAATCGTCAGTAAAATGTAACCGGTTTCGGCACTACGGCCATCATCAGACAATGGTACCAAACAATATGGGACTCAACATATGAAGCACTAAATCATGGTGCCATTTGATTTTCGTCAACGGGTTGGCAGAATCATTTTATATAAAGTGTGGTCGACCGACTTTGTGTTACTTGTTTTTCTTTTGACTTAGATATACTTCTGAATTAACTCATGTTGTTATCTCATAAATGCCATAAATATTTATTGACACCTCTTGATTCAAGTAGTTTTCCTTTGGTATCGGGTATAGTAATTTTCCTAACAAGTGCGGAAAGTGATGCTTGACCCGAACGAGTTTGGGCAAGCAGTCGAGCATGAGTTAGGAACAATATTTTTTCTACAAGCGTAGGAAATCGATTATTTTGTTCAATCAATTATCCTTGCAAACAGAAACAACTAATAATAGTGATATATTATCTATCTTCAATAATTAGTGATATATCAATTGTGTATACCGTTTGAAGTATTATGTAGGTAAGCTAATTGCGTAAGCCAGCATGCCCATGGTGTTTGGCCTCTAGGTTTCAGACATTTCTAGAAAATGAGTCAGAATTACTTCTTCTCCATTCGATATTTTCACTTTTTTACTATTATACCATTCAAAAAATCCCGTGTAATGCTTCTCATACCTTTTTTAAGATTTCGTTGGCAATAGCTCATCTGTTAGGATCTAGAGCTGGAAGTTTTTTTATCGCAATTCCACTGAATCGAAAATGACAGTAACGCTCTGTCTATCACTCTGAGAATTACACTAACTAATTTGTGTTTTGATGACAACAATTGTTTTTCACATCAGATTGAAGGCTTTAGGGGGGTTTATATAACAATCAAATATTATTTTCTAATATTTCATCATTTTCACAATACATAGTGCAATTTGATAAATGATTTTCTACAAACTCACTAAATACTGCAACAAAAAAAAACTTAAATTGCCATACTGTGTCACCCACCACTCATATTTTGCGAGAATATTATATAAATGTTTTTCCCGCATTAGTGTGGGAAAAATGGGGCTGTTTTCCCCTCTGTATTCGTAACGCTTAAAACGATATAGTATAGGTATATCCACACTCTCGCCGTCAAAATTAAATGACTCGGCGCAGGAAATACCTTAAATGAATATATACTGAAAAAAAAACGGGTCACACAAAGGATGAAAAGCTTAAATGGCGCAGTAAGTGCCGTCCCAATTAGAGAATACTCGACAAACAATCCCGCTTCTCTTGTTTTGTTTCCTGAGAATTACCTACGCCTCCTATTAAAATAACTCGGCACAGTCATATATTGCGCCAGGAAAAAGTTCACTGAACATCGCGGAGTTTTAAGTAAACAGCGTCGGCTGTGATATTTCAGTGAAGCTCTCTTGTTTGTTAAAATAACATGGTCGTTGGGGTAGCAGCGTTTGTTACATGTTCCCTGGACATTTCTTTATGTTCAGTTCGTTCTCTTTGAGATGCTTAAACATCTCATGTTCTCTTGTTCATAAGTAGTTCATAATATATGTTCCATGCTAGCGTTCATCATCATACGTCGTCACTGCAGGCGGCTCATGAATTAGAATAATAATTTATACATCATCAGAAAAAAAGAACTTGAAAGTTTCATTGAAATTCACTCACAAACGGATAAACACTGTCATAGATTACAACCGCCTACTTACTTGAAATAAATGTTGAAAAACGCAGGCGTGTAGTTTTTTTTTTCTAGGGGGCGTACTCAGTAGCGGAAATTAAATTATAATTTGGGGGTTGCCTAGTAGTACAACGCGTTTCAGTGTATAATAAATCAACACAAAATGGTGGTTTATCAGTTTCAACTTTTATTAAATATGTTTTTATATCTCAGAATATTCAATATTACCAAAATAACAATTATCAGTCATTCAAATGGACAAATCAAGATAAATATTCTCGATGAAAACATATTTTTTCTACCCACATAACTAAAATGGCATTTAGCGTACGGATATGTACCACGCTAAATGATCGATTAATCACAGATTGTCGATATGTGATTTATTAAAAATATTAAACACGTTACCATGGCAACACGATTTCTTAAACACATTACCATGGCAACGCAGTTCATTAAACACAACTTCAGTAATTTGAGACATGCCTGGCCTGTCAATTGTATTAACTGTCAACTGCTATTTTCGAATTTTGTATCAGAATTATTCAAACAATATTCGTTTGCATCAGAATTCTTCATTCAAAATATATGCGAAAAGTAGACGAAAGCGAAATCGAAGAGAATGTTCTGGTACTTGCATATCTCCAAGAAGTGTAAAAATGAAGCATCCATCTTTGAGAACAATTAATTTATTCTGCGCTAAGCATGACAATAAACGTGAAACAAAGGTTAGTGAGCAATGGACTGGACACATCTACAACCAATATCACTTATACGTGTCTCGCTGGTTGCATGCAGTTGCATGTATTATGTTCTCAATTCCCATTCCTTTCGAATTATTTTGTAGGTTAGCAGGAATTGCAGGTATGTTGATGTAATTTTCGGAGTTCGTAGAAAAATCATAGTATGTAACGCGTTTATAAACTCTTCTAGACACTCGTTCATTAAACACTCGCTCCGCTCATGCTTAAACTACTCGTTACTATATGTATACTATTATATGCGTATTATATGAACTAGATAAAGAAAAAAAAAGAAATTATCTCTCAATTTCACCATTAGATAATATAAAGTAGGTAACTCATCATTCAAAACTCTTGATTATATCTAATTAACAAAATATCAGGTACCCCCGTGACTAGTTTATAAAACAAAGTCTTTTACATTTCTTTGAAAATCTCGAGTATAATCTATCAATAACATCATCTATATCCATTTCGATATATCTATGAATATTTAATATAAAGTTAATCCGACTAGCCTGACCCATTGTACACCTCAACCATGATTTCAGTGTCTTACCTAAGTGTACAGAAAATGATCTTTCAGCACTCGCCACACTCACCGGCATAACAGATTTTGTCTGCAGGAGTGTATAAATAGTGGGAAATAACTGCAATGCTGTGAAGTATCTAAGGCTGTTTCTTCTTCTTCTTCTTCTTTTGTGGACTCTTGAAGGCTGTTTTCTTTGGGTAAATTATTATAGGTTTATTTTTGGTTTCTTCCCATTCATTTTCGCAAAGATCTATTTCTGATTGCAACAAATCTGACAAAAATGTTTGGGAGAGAATTCATTTCTAAATTTACTAACATATTCAGAGACTTGTTTTACTAGAATCTTTGAATCATTGGCATAGAACATAATCAGGCATCAACCTGTTGATATATAACATTTTGAATTCATTATTAATTAGGTATTGTTTCTAAGTCTTTAACTGTTTTACTATTTTTGTGCTTTCAGGGGGGGGTGCTGTCCCTCAGTACCCCCCCCTTATCTACGCTGGTGGAAAAACGGCAAAAAGTTATCTATTATAGTGAAATATTATTTGTATATCAATCATTGTGCGACCCTACATATAATGATATATTTTCAGAAAGAGGGGAAAAATCGTTTCAAGTAAACTGCATCATTTTTTTATTTGAAATCTTTACAGCGCCACTAAATTATTCGAAAAAATAATTATTTATGTACCGAGGACGAAACACTGTGTATTATAATCGAGTCTGCAATCAGGCGAGACAATAGACAGTTTGCATATATATTAATAGTATATTATGTAACAAGTGCTATAAACGTTCTTCTTAGTAACGAGTATTTTAAGCACGTGTTTAATAAACGAGTGTCTAGAAGAGTTTATAAACGCGTTACATACTATGCTGTTTCTACGAACTCCGAAAATTACATTAAAATACCTGCTATTCCTGCTAACCTACAAAATAATTCGAGAGGAATGGGAATGGAGAACATATAATACATGATTACATGCAACTGCATGCAACCAGCGAGACACGTATAAGTGATATTCAAATAGAGCTTGGCGAAATATCATGCAATTCATAAGTGTATATGATTAACTAAAGATAAGATACGTATTAGATATGGGTGATTATGATAATGAATAGGTAAGTGTCAAAAAATTTTTCAGTAGATTTTGAAATGTTTCAGTAGATCAGTTGACATGCAAATCAGGAGATCTACTGAGAATTCAGTATACTGGCAACCCTGTAGCGGACGAAACGTATTTGCCTTCGGAAAAAGCCGGTTTTTCAAAAAGAAAGATGATGAAATACGCAAGATGATATATTCTATTGAAGAACCAAAGATATAATCAAAATAATGTTAGAAAATTTCAATTACATGAGTACTAATACGGAAATGATTAAGTACATATGTTGGAGTTCTCCTTGAAAAAAAAAGAAAAATATTAAATTACTGAAGTGAGTAGTGGTCAAATTCGATGTTATACAATATCGTAACAATGAACTGCAGAAGAAAGGAAATATAATAAAGCAAAAATAAATAATACTATATCCAGAGTCTTATAACGGAACCATTATAAGAATGGCAACGAAAAGAGAATGGAAGATGTTCTTTCTCATCGCCATCAATTTCAACGTTATTTTTCTCGAAACCTTTGTGGGACCCTGGCAAACAATAACTGATATAATTCATTTTTGAATGATCGGAAACCCAGAGATTACTCTTGCCACCGTAGCATCATTTCACAGTTGCTCACAACGAACGACTAAGGTATATCAGAAGAGGAATAAGCAGTGGCGGAGCTACAGGGTTGGTCGAAACGTCAAATATCTTGAGGAGAGTTCAACAGATTGTTCTGACAAAATCCATGAGATTAAAGAAGAGGTTTGTAGAAAAGAAGATAGTAATTTTGGTGCCTGCACCTTTTTCAATTTTAGTTCAAAAAGCGTCAAGTTAATTTCGAAAAGTATCAAGAGTGTTTCAAAATTATCATTTCAATTTCAAAATGCGTCGTTTGTATTTCAAATTAGTCATTTTAATTTCGAAAAGTATCAAATGTATTACAAAATTATCAATTCAATTCAGAGATGCGTCAATTATATTTCAAATTATTTATTTTGTTTTAAAACAATTTCATTTCAATTTCACAACTAATCATTTCTATTGATGATGCCACAATGACAGGAACCATCAGAAGCCAGAAGCGTTCCAATAACATAGTGAATGAAAATATCACCTAACGCCAATCTAACCTTTGTCTCTGCTTTTTCAGTTTTGAAATCCTTATGATGCATCATGAAATACATTCAATATTTCTTTAAATACAAATGACAATTGTGGAATTTGAAGTGTTAGTTTTTGAAATTCATTTGATAATTCTGAAATGAAAACGACTAATTTGAAATACGATTGACGTATTTTGAAATTGAATTGATAATTTTGAAATAAAAATAATTCTTCTTGAAACCCAAATTACAATATGGAAATATAATTGACCATTTTTCAACTAAAATTGCAAAAGGTGTAGTGCGCAAAATGCTGTTCTCTATCACCAAATTAGAATTTCACGCACTAGATAAAAAAATAACTATCCTATTTATGGATCGATCTTTTTGATTTTTGCCTTGTGTGAGAGAATATGTCCTACTTCATATTTCCTTTTTAGTATATCCATGAAAAAAAATTTGGCGGATACACCCATACTTGTAAGTACTGTATATTTTTACGTAAAATATCCAAGAAGCTTGGACCTAGGTTCTTCGACAGAACGGAAGGTCAGACTCAAGACTCAATGGTCCAACATGCAAATCCATCAAAAAATAGCTGATGCTTTCACAGAATATACTGATTCGTATTTCCCTAGTATTTTCTTTCGTAATATATCAAAATCAAGTTGGCGCATTACAAATATCAATTGTTGTATTGTTGATGGTACTTACAAATATATAGTGTTCAAAACTTTAGTCGACAAATAAATGGTGAAATTCCTGGGCTAATTATGATTAAAAAAGTTTATATTATCATGATTCACGAATACCTCTACAAAATGAACGAAAATACACGAATTGAGTGCAAATGAAAATATACTTCAGGAAAATTTTCTGTGGAAAAATGTACTACTGGCGAACCATTACATTTTATGTATACATGTGTATACTCAAAATTTTGGTGGACACGTTGTGTGTTAGCCTCCAATTCTTGAAGACCAGAAATTAAAATTTGTGATGAACTCGCACTCATGTATTTTATCTACAAAATTCAATCATTGAAATATTGAGAAGACTTTAGTATTAATATGTACTCAGAATATTGTAAATGAATATACAGGGTGAAATATGTGCAAATATTTCAAACACTGAGAAAGCTCGACGTGTACTATCGAATGGCACTAATGAAAAAAAATCAGGGATCAAAATAAAATTTGAGGTTAGACCCCCTTTTCCACCCAAAGTTCTACACTGTAGCAAATCTGACGTCACCTCTGTTCAAATTTCCATGCGGTAGGCACAATCACGCGGAGTAAAATCATTCAAATTGTTTTGGGATGGCGTACTTGATTTTTTTTCGTATTTTGTTCAATTTATGGGATGAAATTCCTCGTTAATTAGGAGAATTGGAAAAAATCTGATGTGAGAATATTCCTTAGACTGCAACATATTGTTGTGCTGAATATGTGCAGTTATTTCAAAAACACCTTGTATATTTGGTGTAACAGAATTAAAATTTGTTGAATTATTTCATTGATATGTTATGAGAATGTGATTCTTGATATGTCCATTATTTTCGTCAATAAAAAATTAAGAAAAATTTAGAAATGTTGGAAAAAGTGTTTCATGAAATATTCATCGAACAAACTACCTCCCCGGAGTGTGGTTTGTATTACTTCATCTGCCGTTTGAATTTTCAATGTCTGCCAAACAATTTCATTTTATGAAAACTAAAAATTTTGGTGGGTGGTAGGTATAATGTGTTCAGCCACCAGTTTTTCAACACAGAAATTGAAATTTTGGTGAATTCACTCACTCTTGAACTATGCGACTATGGAATTGAATAAAAAATGCCTTTGGTATTTGCACAATTCAATATTGAGTATACTATTGCATTATTATGAGCTCATTAATCTCGATGATTTTATATATGGTTTATCAGAATGAGGATTATTTTTTTGTCTTTAATCAAATGTAGATTACTTTCGTCAATAAAAAATATATAGGAGTCATACAAAGTGAATATTGAATCATACAGATATTAGGACCAAGTGATTCAACGTTCTTACATGTACTCGTAAGTCTCGTGACATTCCCATTAGACAATTTTAGAGTGTGCTTGCTTTGAGAGAGCTGTGCCGATATACTGGAAACTTCAAAGAATTCACACTGCATGGCAATAAAAAGGAATATTTTATAAACTACTCACTCTGGAATATCGTATAAAACCTCGCTTTTCGATTCTTCCGTCATCATTTAATCCTTCATTCTGTAACAACATCAAAAGAAAAGCCTTGTTATAAGCTTAGCTACACTGAAGGATAACATTTAATCTATGAAATTGATGTCGAAATTTCATCGCTTTATAATACAGAGTAACTCTAGACACAAAATCACAAATGAATACCGGTGTGAAAACAGCAACGCGACATCTTCCAGCAACGAATGAGATCAACACGGGCAGGCCGCAGATTCAATATTTTTTCTTGAAACAGATGTCAGATAGCTTCCTGCACACGATAAAAAAAATATTGTAATAATCAATTCCTGACCTCTCATTTCATATAAAGATAAAAAATTCCAACAGATTTTTTTGGTTTTGTAAAGATTAATAGTTGGTTCCAGGTAATGTAAATTGTAAATGCACTTAATTGATTTATTTTGTAATTTCATCAATGGTTTCAAATGTGATATACTTGTGCTACCCCAAATTGTTATTAAATATTGTAATTTTGCGTAAATCAGACAGAAGTATATATTCTTCAAATATCTAAGGAATGAAATTTCTAATTTTGTATTAAATGCCAGTAATTGGATTTAGCTTTTTTCTCAGGTGATGTTTAGTCCACGATAATTGTTCATCAATATAAAGACCTGAGAATTTTGTAACATCTAAATATTTTATGGCTATCTGGTCGAAATATATTGTTGTTTTCGCTATATATCAGTTTTTCTTTTTCAAATATACATATACGTAGATTTGTCATAGTTAAGAGTCACCTTATGAATTTATAGCCAAGATGATATCATTTTCAAGTCAATTTTAATATCATCAACTATATCATCAAATTCTTTAGAGGAATAGATTATCGTAAGTAACATCTGCAAATAATTTTAGATCTCCTTTTAGTTTCAATGATGATATTGAATTGATGTAAATTGAGAATAAAATTGGACCTAAAACTGTACCTTGTGGTACACCACATTTGATCTCCCTTATGGAGAAAGTGTATGAGAGCATCGAGAGCTGGTGTACCAAAGTAATCGTGATGATTTTAAATAACGAATAACGAATGATTGCATCAAACACTATTTATACTAGGAATGATCAATATGAAATATGTATTTGGCGTCGATTCGACTATAGTTTACAACCCCATTGTCTTTCCAGCGGCCTCTCCCCCCACCACCATCGACCCCCCTGCCGCCGACGCCTCCCCCACCGCCCCCGCCATCCCCGACTGCCCGTGCCCCGCCTCTGCCGCCCTGGGCACGCGCAAGAGGCCGTTGCTGGCAGCCGGCGGGCCGCGCACCTCGATGACGCCCACCAAGCGGACGGTGATGAGTCTGCTGGCGCGGGCGAGGGCCGCCCAGGCCAAACAGCTGCCCGCCGTCGGAGCCGCCTTTGCCAGAGGGGCGACAGCCGCTTTCGACGAGTGAGTATATCGCTCAGACTGGATATCAATAGATGGACACCACGATTCACTCTCATTCGCCATAGGGACGGCGAGTGAGTATATCGCTCAGATTGAATACCAATAGACACCGCGATTCACTCATTCGCCAGAGGGACGGTAGACGCTTTCGACGAGTGAGTATATCGCTCAGACTGAATAACAATTAGTTGACACCGCGATTCACTCACTCGTCAGAGGGATGGGAACCGCTTTCGACGAGTGAGTATATCGCTCAGACTGAATATCAATAGATGGACACGGCGGTTTACTCATTCGCCATAAAGACGGCGAGTGACTATATCGCTCAGACTGAATACCAATAGACACCGCGATTCACTCATTCGCCAGAGGGACGGTAGACGAACTCGACGAGTGAGTATATCGCTCAGACTGTATAACAATATATAGACACCGGGATTCACTCACTCGTCAGAGGGATGGCAACCGCTTTTGACGATTGAGTATATCGCTCAGACTGAATGACAATAGATAGACACCGCGATTCACTTATTCGCCAGAGAGACAGCAGCCGCTTTCGACGAGTGGTTATATCGCTCAGACTAAATATCAATAGATGGACAGCGCGATTCACTCATTCGCCAGAGGGGCGACAGCCGCTTTCGACGAGTGAGTATTCCGCTCAGACTGAATATCAATAGATGGACACCACGATTCACTCTCATTCGCCGTAGGGACGGCGAGTGAGTATATCGCTCAGATTGAATACCAATAGACACCGCGATTCACTCATACGCCAGAGGGACGGTAGACGCTTTCGACGAGTGAGTATATCGCTCAGACTGAATAACAATTAATTGACACCGCGATTCACTCACTCGTCAGAGGGATGGGAACCGCTTCCGACGAGTGAGTATATCGCTAAGACTGAATAACAATAGATAGACACCGCGATTCACTCATTCGCCAGATAGACGGCAGACGCTTTCGACGAGTGAGTATATCGCTCAGACTGAATATCAATAGATGGACACCGCGATTCACTCACTCGTCAGAGGGATGGCAACCGCCTTTCGACGATTGAGAATATCGCTCAAACAGAATAATAGATAGATACCGCGATTCAGTCAGTCGTCAGAGAGATGGCAACCGCTTCCGACGAGTGAATATATCGCTCAGACTGAATGACACCGCGATTACCCATTCGCCATGGGGACGGTGAGTGAGTATGTCGCTCGGACTGAATACCGATAGACACCGCGATTTATTCATTCGCCAGAGGGACAGTAGGCGCTTTCGACGAGTGAGTATATCGCTCAGACATGACAATAGATGGACACCGCGATTCACTCATTCGCCAGAGAGACGGCAGCCGCTTTCGACGAGTGAGTATATCGCTCAGACTAAATAACAATATATAGACACCGCGATTCACTCACATGTAAGCGGGGACGAGTGAGTACATCGCTCAGACTGAATATCAATAGATGGACACCGCGATTCATTCATTCGCCATAGGGACGGCGAGTGAGTATATCGCTCAGCAGACTGAATAATAGAAAATTCACTCATTCGCCAGAGAGACGGCAGCAGTTTTCGACGAGTCAGTATATTGCTGAAACTGAATATCAATAGATGGACACCGCGATTCACTCATTCGCCATTATTACGGCGAGTGAGTGTATCGCTCAGACTGAATGACAATAGACACCGCGATTCACTCATTGGCCAGAGGGACGACGGTAGACGCTTGCGACGAAGGAGTATATCGCACAGACTAAATATCAATAGATGGACATCGCGATTCACTCATTTGCCATTAGGAATCTGTCACCCACTATTCCTATTTTCTTGTCATTGAAACATTAAATTTTTCGAAAATTATTATTATACCTAGTATTTTTTTTTCAGGCGTACACCAACATTGGTTCCGTTATTACGAGAGGATTATATGAGTGCAGTGAATCTCAATTTAATTTAAGGCTGTTGTGATTCTTTGATTTTACTGCTCAAATATTGTGGAATTTATAGCGTCTTCTGAAGCTTCTTGAGTTTTTTAATGATCAAATCGAATGCAGAAGAATTTTATGATTATTTCGTCGATTTTTTTTTAAGATGTTGAATTTATGGAATGAATATAAATAATGAAATAAGCACTACATGTAATAAAAGAGGTTACCTACCTACTCACAAGCAAGACGAATGGAAAAATAGTGAGTAAGTCCATGTATATTTACTGATTAAAATATCACAATATGAATTTTAAATTATTATAATGAACAATTATGCACGGACCAAGAATAATCTAAGTGATATTGATTTATATGTATTCAAATTATTGCTCATTGCAATCTATTTTTCCATCCCCATGACCTGAATTTTGAAAGGAATAATTATAGTTATCATTTTTTCCCAGTAAGCCTGTTATGTCGGAAATTTAAATCAATTTTTGTAAACCCTGTATATTATGATTCCTTGGTATCATAGGAACAAATTGTTCAGAGCTTTTTTAGTACTTATCTATATAGATTATTATGTACAAGAATCCTTAGGAAATGTCTCCATTTGTTGTGAAAATATAGACAGGATTTATTTGGCAGGATGAAAAATAATTATGAAATAAATTTGAATAACACTCATAGTGTGCCCCTGTGCCACTAGATCATTTCAACAATAAAATACATGAACATCCTGTCTGTACTTATCATACCATCATTATATAGTTGTGAAATAATAAAGGTGTTCCCTCTAAAACGCCCATTAGAAGTATATGGAGTTTTAACTTCTAACAGTGAGGAATATAAAAAGAAATTTTGAATAGATTTTGATTGGGTATGATCTAATTATAGAACTCGAAATATTTCTAAGTGTGTGTTAGAAGGAACAGTTTGTATATTAAGTAGGTAAATGATTTTTATTATAAATGAATAAAATAGGTAATATAGAACAAAATAGACTAAATGTATTCATCAGTGGCTTTCATCAAATTTGAATGTTCATTTTAACATTTGTATGGTCACTGTATAACTTTTAATAAATCTCTATTCAAAATTAGATAATTGTAAAGTGAAAAATACATACTTAATATTGATGAGTGTACCTAATTATAATGTAACAAGTTAAATAATTGATTGTACAGTTATTTAAAAAAAATAATTTGATTGAAATGGGGTAGATACCTGATGTGAATATCTTTTAGTACCCACCTACTGAAATCTCAAAAAATGTGTGCCAAAATATCAATTTGAATAAAAAACAAATTGAATTCCCCATTGAGCAGATTTGAGTTGTTGTTGGTACCAAATAAGTCCCTAATTGATGTTAATAATATGAATAAAAAAATAATAAAAATTTGCTATGCTCTATAAAATCAATGTCTTGTATGATGTGAATTATAAATAAAGTTCAAGAAAATTATGTTTGTCTCTGTGTTTGATTTGGTCTTTACAGCATTCAATTCATCCAGCTAGACTGAATTTTCAAATAAATTAAAAACAGGAATAAAAATAATATAAATAATAAAATTGCAACTACATAATCAATAACATGAATAACAAACTGCAGAGCTGTCACTGTAGCTCGGGAATGAACAGTTCTTACAAAAGTCTTCATCACAGTTCACACAAATATTCATACAATCTGTACAGATAAAATTATCACAGTAGGAGCATTTGCTTCTCACAGAGAGCAGGGCAAAACATTTAAAACATTTATAATGTCGATCAGGTACTTCTTTCGATTTAATTTGTGGCTGAATTTTTCTAGAGGCCCCTCTATATAACATTTGAAGGGTTTTTTCCGATGCGACATTGACAATACCTCTTGCTTTAGATTCGTTGCCTACCTGCTTCTTGATGAAATGGTCTTCTTCATCAAACGGGCAACTTCGTTTTGGCATTTTGATTTTGAGGCAACTGAAATTGAAATGAAAACGTTTTGAAATTTTTCACCAGCTGAGTTTAAGTTCAGTCAGCAGTCACTTCACTTCAGTCAACTTTGACAAATGACAATTCAAACTTCAAAACGAGTGGCTTACAACTTACAACTTACACTCTACACATTTATTCGCAACTGGCTAAGTGACAAGGGTCCTCTGGAGCACGAAGAAATAAGTTTGAGGTTATAATGTTTTGTTTTTAGTTTTGATTTTTTGGAAGAATTTTAGATTTTCGAAGTGGTCTACGTCTGTAGTCTGTGCTTATTACGGATTATTCCTTATTTCATTTGGATATAAATAATGTCACATTTACAAGGTGGAAAAGTTGATATCTCTATCATACAAATATCAGCCAGGAATAATTTAATCAATCTTCTGGAGAAATGTCCAGGCAAGAAGGCCATAGTATGGGACAACAGCTTAGCTGGCCCTGTGGGACTCGTAGCACAATATACTATTCTGAGAGAACACATGGTCATCAAAATGTACCCCTTACGTCCCATGCCTTTACCTGAGACTGATGTGGATCATGTAATTTTTGTATCTAGACCAAAATTACATTTGATGGACTACATAGGTATAGAACTCCCAAACCTATTGATGTTTCATTCATTGTGAATGTGTTTTAGCTCAGAATGTCCACTCTGACAGCAAAACTAAATCTGGTTCAAGAAAGCAATTCCATTTGTTTTTTGTTCCCAAGAAAAGTTTACTTTGTATGGAGCGACTCAAGCATAAGGGTGTTTTTGGCAGTGTAATAATGATTGATGAATTCAGATGTCAATTGTTTCCTTTTGACTCTGATGTCCTATCAATGGAAATAGCTGAGGTTTGTAGGTAAACCTTCAAATTCATCTTTTCAAGTGCTCCCTGATTTTCTTAATTATTTCCAGAGAATATACTATAGAAAATGACCCAACATACCTTTATCAAATAGCTCAAGCAATAATTTACCTCCAGAAACTTTATGGACCTATTCCAAAAGTCTGGGGTAAGGGTACAGCAGCTAAACAAGTGTGGGAATTGGTCACAAGACTTCACAGAGAAAACAGTAGCAATGAGGAACCTAAAAGCAATGAGCAGTCTTGCATTGATCAGATATTGCTCATTGATAGATCTGTGGATTTGTTGACTCCTTTAGCTACTCAGCTCACATATGAAGGTCTTAAAACCACTATAGCAAACCAATTATTTGATTTTTTTCAAATTTTAGGGCTAATTGATGAAATCTTTGGCATCAACAACTCTACTGCTAACTTTCCCATTGATAATTTCTTGAGTAATGAAGAAAGAAGTACAGAATCTTTGGCTGAAGATAAAAAACAAATAATTTTAGATTCTGCTGATAAACTTTATGCAGACATCAGAGATAAAAATTTCAATGCAGTATGTCAATTATTATTATAAAAGATGTTTTTATTAATATCATCCATGCAATATGTCTTCAAGGTTGGTGCCTACCTCTCAAAACAAGCAAAATCTATAAGTAATCAACTGGAAAACACTCAGGACAAGTCAGTTCAAGAAATGAAGCTTTATGTTCAGAGACTTCCTCAAATTCTTGCAAAAAAGAAACAACTTGCCACTCACACTGCTATCGCAGAGTGTATCAAAGAAATTACTGATGGCTATGACTTTTTAGATACATTACAGGTAGAAATGAATAGCTCTCTTGAAATTGTTGGGCATTACTAGTTGGACATTTTTCAGGCTGAACAAGAGTTCTTAAATTGCATTGAAGTTGACAAACCCAGTCAATACATTGAAGAAATGATTGCACAAGGCAAACCACTAGTCAAAGTTCTTAGGTTGATGTGTCTTCAATGTATTGCCAGCTCAGGGTTGAAACCAAAAGTTCTGGAAGGTTATAAAAGAGAACTGGTACAAGTATGTTAAGAAAATGGAAACCTTGTTTACATCATATCTCTATGGTAAAACATTAATGTTTTAGGTGTATGGATTGGAAACTTTACTGGCAATCTCAAAACTTGAGAAAGTTGGTCTTCTGAAACTACAGTCTGGAGCAAGACAGTACACTGTTCTGAGAAAAGCTCTACATTTGACTGTGGAAGACACTTCAGAAGTAAATCCCACAGATATTAGCTATGTTCATAGCATCTATGCTCCACTGAGCATTAGACTTGCAGAGCAAGTAACTAAATCTGGAGGTCTGAAGCAACTGCAGGATGTCTTAGGCCTATTGCCAGGTAAAAGAATAGAAGTGAGCTAGTGTGAGTTAGTGTCAAATTTGATTTTCTCAAATTTTAGGCCCCACTCTTGAAGAATCGCCTTCAGTCAATGCCAATTTGACTACCAATAATGAGTCTCATATGACCGTTCTAGTTTTCTTCATAGGTGGTTGTACATTTGCAGAGGTTAGTGACAGTATTGAAAATGAAATAACCATTTCAATTCACCTATGATCATAAATAGACAATATTTTCTCTTGTAGATATCTGCCTTACGATTTTTGTCTCAACAGGAAGATTCAAATGTTGAATTTTTGATTGCTACCACCAAATTGATCAATGGCAATACATTTTTGAGATCTATCATCGAAAATTGAAATTGTTCTCAAATTTTATTTACTAGGTGTTAAAAAGTTACAATGCTCAACTGTTTCCTCATCTCTACAATAATACAATCAGAACACAATTTGTTCAAAGGTAGTTAGCAACTACATTCAAATTCATAAGAAATAATTCATGTTATTATGCCCTAAAACTGCTTCATCAATAGCTATGACCTACCAATTTTATTCTTGAAGATTTTAAAGCATTGTAAGATTAATTATGATGGATATCCTCAATATTTATGTATATAACTGTGATATGTGATCATTAAATTATTAATCTTATATTAATATTGTTGTTTTATTCTTGTGAGAAAACTAAAAATGAAACAATCCACTTAATTCATACTTGAATTTAATTGCTAGGTAATATCAAGTTTCAATTTTTAAGCCAACTACATAATATATTCTTTTTATCACATTCCATTTACAATATATTTCCTCCCCAAACTTCACTGCACTGCTTATTGCTTCTGCTTGATTTTATAATCTGAAAGAGCAGCTTTGATAGCATCTTCAGCCAACATGGAACAATGCAACTTCACAGGAGGCAGAGACAATTCCTTGGCAATCTCTGTATTTTTCAGCTTCAAAGCCTGATCTACAGTTTTGCCTTTCACCCACTCTGTTGTGTATGAGCTGCTCGCTATAGCAGAGCCACAACCGAAAGTTTTGAACTTTGCATCAATGATCTTGCCATCATCGTCCACTTTGATCTGAAGTTTCATTACATCTCCACAGGCTGGAGCTCCCACTAAGCCTGTGCCGACGTTCTTGTCGGCTTTATCCAAAGATCCAACATTTCTAGGGTTTTCATAGTGATCCAAAACATTCTTGTGGTATCCTGCACTACTTGTTATTCTCAGAACCGGCAGGGACAGTGTACGAAAAAGCTTGGACGTATTCAGTGCCATGATCTGAAATATATGCTTTGCAAGTTAAAAAATTATGTTTTTTAATGTGCTGATGATAATTATTGTTACCGTTATGTATGTATGTTGCAATCAAAATTCAATGAATATTAAATCACAAACAGGATCACAAAAACACAAGAATCGAAAATTATCACAACTCACCTCACAACATAAATATCCATCACAACATTGAATATGATGACTGATGACATTGACATCTGAGAAATCACAACATCAAATGTCAAAAATGAACAAGAAACACAGCCTCAGATTTACAATAGTACATAGCAATTGAATCTAAAATACAATAAAGAAAGAAGACTATGAAGCTTTTCTGGATTTGAAATGAAATTCGCGAAAATCACGAAGTGGGTGGCCTCTGGTGTTTGATTTTGGAAATAAAATAGAGGTGAACACTTAGATCATCTGTAGGATCTAAGCGTTGATCTAAGGGTGAACAACAATCCATTTTAGCATTGTCACCACTTGTCACTATTGTCACATTGTCATGTCAGCATTATGATTCAATACTTTTATAGTTAAAAGTAGACTATTTTCCATGATTTTCGTGATTATTTTGTATAGGTATATGGGATAGGTAGATATTTTCAACCTTTCAACTCTTCATATTGTACAGACAGTGTTTCTTTACACAAATTTCCACTTTGGAACCCCAAATTGTGTAAAAGATGGAGGAATTTGTTGAAGATTGGTATACCAATAACCAATAATATGTACGTTTGTAGTGAGCACTTCTTACCTGGAGATTTTACATCCTTCAATAAATCTTTAACTGAAGGTAAAGTTTAAGGAATTGAACTTCGTTAAATCACATCTATGCTTGCAAATTTCATTTAAGGCAAGTACATTTGCATTCGAAAATGTTTTTTTCATTTGGGATGCTACTTATTTCATGAGGAGACTCTGCTAATGCAGATGATTGTAAACACAAGCTTTTGATCACATGCGTTTGTTCTGCATCCACCCCACACAATATAATGTGACCTGCTCTAAAAACTGCTTCTCCTTCTTTCAAGGGTCTCACCCTATCGCCAATATATTCTAATATATCCGCGATGGACACTTCAACTTTAGGCATTTTTCTGAAATATTATGTGACAACTAAGTGACAACAGTTTGTTGTTCACCTCTATTTTGAAATTTGACGTTGGACAGGCGCCATCTTTTGGTTCGTGATTTTCGCGAATTCAAATATTTTGATTTAATAATACCACAGATCAACAAACCTTTTGTTGACTCTGTGATAATATTTTTTGATAATACTGTGGTATTTATGAGATTTGAATGATGGAAAAAAGTAGAAAGATCTCTGGAGAATGGAAATGGAAGAGCTTTGCAAAGTAAGGATTTTTGAAAAACTATGTACATTATACTTGCTCAGATGCTCCATCAATCCACCAGTTTATTTTTTTTATAGATCCATGGTTGTATAAAAGAACATATTATATATTGCAAAATCAAACAATATTACATTTATAGATTGAAAATAAAATATGATACTGCTATTCAAAAATTGCTCAGAATATCACCAAAATTTATCATACATTATTCCACATCATATGTTCAACATACATCACTTATACATGCCTTCTCCCCTTTTTGTGTTCTTTTTGCTTTCTGGTCTTTTCGTTTACTACTTATAGTTTGTGCAGTTCGAAAAGTGATACACTTTTTATCCAGGAATGTTACCAGATCCTATAATAAAGATACAACTAATCTATATTTCTTCTATACATAGTTATGAGTCTGACAAGAATGGAAATTGTTACCTTCAAGTGGAATGTACATCCTGATTGTTCATTCAGCATTGAATGAATCACTTCTAAATGTAATGGTTCATATAAGAGTATGTTATTATGCAACTGTGGATTGCTTGACACAAAATTGTACCAAGCAACTTGTAGAGGTATTTGACAAGTTGGAATCTTTGAAGATGCCTTACATTTTCCAAATATAAAATCTTTAGGATTATCACTGAAAAAATGACTTAAAAGTAATAAGTACAGGAATTTCATGAACACTTGGATGAGCTTTCATACCTAATGACTAATTCAGTTGGGAATATTCCCAATTCTACTGGGACACTTCCACTAGGTGAAATTGTTCTAGGCTTCTTACATGCTTTTTCTTCATCATCTCTATCACTAGTGCTAGATTCTTCAGATCTGACAACAGGGTGGGTACTTTCATAAATATATTTCAACAATTTGATCCCTTTTGGTTTCCTCAAGGGTTTGAAGCCAAATTTGTCAAGTTCTTTTCTTATTTTTGGAGTATCCATTTGATCATAGTCTGCCATTGGAGTGACATTTTGAGTTTTGATGATCATATTGTTATCAGGAGTTGAAACATTTTTTGATTGGTTCAATTTTGCAGGACTTGAATTAGTACTACCCCCCTTTTTCCTTCTTGATCTTTTTGACTTCCTGGACTTATTTCCAACATCATTTGTGAGGATATCAGTGGTTTCTTCAATGGGTTCAGCTTCTTCAGTCATTGGCAATTCCAATTTATTTTCTTTTCTACCTGTCTCAGATAATTTGGATAAATACTTTTCCTTGAGACCTAAAAAAGTTTCGACAATATACCAACACTCTGTTGTCTCCTTATTTCTTTAATGGCCAAAAAGATATCATTCTATATAAGTTCACCTTTATGTATACTGCTTATATTTCCATAACTGAAGTCTGCTTCATCTACCAAATTTGTATCAGGATTGTCCAAGTTGTAAAAGTCTTTGTTTCTCTGTTCTGCACTGTGAAAACTGGAATAGTTTAATTCTTCATCACTGATGATGATACTTGTTTGAGAAGAAGAAACTTGTGACAAACTATCATCTTCATTTTCATGGTTTTCTTGAACCTCACTCTGATCTTGAAAATCATTTTCAGAATGACATGTTCAGATTATAATAAATTTATATATTACTTACCAACTTGGGAATTCAACATTTGAGTGACATAATCAGTAACATTTAATGAATTTGTGCAGTTGTAATCATACATTTCACTCGATTTTCTGGAATGATTTGAATCCCCTGAGTATAAACTGGTCCTATTTGGTTTTTCAAATATAATTGAATTTTCCTTCATTATCTCAATCTCATTATTCTGATGATCTTCTGCATCAGTAATACCACTAACTCCACTGAGCATACTATTTGGACTATCAATTTTTTCATCAGATACAACATCACTTTTATTTATGCTTGTAGACAAATCTTGACAATAATGAGAGGGAAGAGGAGATTTATTAGATTTGTCTGATTCCTCATCCAATATATTCTCCATACATACTTCCATCTTATTCTCAAAATATTGTGATTTCTGAGTTAGATTTTGTATGGAACTATCAGATAATTTTGGGAGAGATTCTCCAGTATTTAAATTCTTTGAAGATGAGATTTCAGATGCATTTACAGAAAAATCTGGAATCTGGAAATGATCTAGACCTAAAATTTAAATTACACTTTAAGGGTCATAACCATACAGAAAAAAAATGGATTTGAAACTGACCTGGATAATTCTCAACATTTGTGATTTGGTACAGATTTGTTTCATTTGAATTTGATGATTGAGTTAAATCAACCAGTTCTCCTTCACCTTGATTCTCTTGACATATTTCTTTTGTATCCTCCAAAACATGTGATGGATCTTGGGAATATTGACAAAAACCATCAGAATATTCAATACCACTATCAGTGGATATCAGGGTACTCACATCTTTGTTAATATTATTATAAACACTTGAATCCAGACCTTTTGACACAAAATCATCTGAATTATTTGGAGATCTATGTATTGGATTATCATATGATTCAAAAAGTGTTGACAAGTTTCTTGGGATTGTTGTAGAAGTAGCTTTGGAATTTGTGTGTGAGTTAGGTGACTGGTTCAACAAGAAAGACATTGATCTGCCAGCAATACTTGGTGATTTTAGGCAAGGTGATTCAACATCAGACTCAAAAAGATCTGGAGAAGCACAGTTTATGGCAGTTTCCATATCTGGCTCATCATCAAAAATTATGATTTCATCAGTTTTGACCTCACCAAGTTTCATATCAGGGATAGTGCTGGAAGTTGTCTTAGAATCACTTGGGACATTTCCTTCTAAAGTGGACAATTTATTAGATTTGCCTTCAGAATATTCTTTATTGTGATCTAGGTTTTTTGTATGTTTTCCTGGGGTCCTATCCCTGCCTGGTATTTCATCCCAGTTTTTCAAAAGGCAACCATAAACAGATTTGCTAGATGGCAAACCTAAGGAGGAACAATAGTAATTTTCCAAATCAACATTAAAAATTTGTCTTCCCTGGCTGTGGTAAGATTGCAAGACAAAACTGTGCAATGTTTCTGGTAAGGTATGAGTACATTCAAAAGTAGAACATCTCTGCTGTGATATTATCATGGAAACTTTAGTATTTATCAAAGATTGCCTATCTTCTTCAGTTCTAGTATGTAAAACTGGTGTTATAAATCGAAATTTTGAGTAGTTTTTACGTTTTTTTGGTTCCTGAAATTGTAAAACTTAATCAAAGTTGTAATATTGCAATTGAAACTCACCTCAACAAAAGCCATCTGAAATGCAGAGTCCTTAGTTTTACTAGATTTGAAGCCATATCTTTCAAGAATTGTGCCATGCTTAGGAATCTTCTCAGGGCTTAAAAATGTTGGGAAATCTGGCTCTTTGTTCTTTCTGAATCTTTCTGGATACTCCAAGGCAAGAGTAGAATTTGATAGTGCTATGGCCATTTGTAAATGTTCAGAGTTTACATCTAAGTTTTTGAAGTTATCTTTGGTGGATTTTTGTATGGACCCTGATCTTGTTTTTTTTGTACTGGTTGTTTTTCTTTTAATTGTTGCACTGGTAACAGGCTCCTTTTGAGAGACTTTGGGAACTTTCCTAACTGGGTTTTTTAAGGTTCTAAAATCATCACTATCATTACCAAGACTGATGCATTTGATTTCACCAAGTGAACCTTTGTAAGGGGATTCAAAATAGTCTGATTGTTCACTGACATTGTTTCTGTTGAAAGAAAACAAATAATATTAATGCTACAAATTTAATACTCCAGTCTACATCTACATAATAACAAACCTAGTACTAGTACTACTAGAAGCTTTTGGATTAGACATCAGGTTGTGAAAAGAATGCTTTACTGAACCATGATTGTTCAACTGGTTTTTCTTCATGTTTTTCTGTTTCCTTCTCCCTAGCTTTTGCCAACACTTCTTCAATAGGACCACTTTGTAGACTAGCTTGTATGTGTTTAACTTTCAGAGCATACCCTTCAGGGTAGTCAAATTTACCATCTGTTATAGCTTGTCTCACCTTATTAGATGCAGGCCACAATCTAGGATACATACACTTTATATTTCAAAAAAAATCATGAGGGTTTCACTAGAACTTACTCATACAAATACCAAGAAAGAGCACCAAAACCTAAGACACCAAGTGCATAATAATTCCTGTGAATATAAAATGGAGTGCCTTTGGATCTTCTTGGTTTACGATACTTCTCATTTATTCTCCAATCTGCCATATCCAAGACAACAGGATCATTAAGGTCCCACTCTTTTTGGATGTTTGACTTTTTAAGTATAATTCAGATTTATAATTACCATAGTAGCAATAAAAAATACCCAGTGTTCTCAGCTCCTAAGTCCTGCTGTGTTGATTTGTTGGATCTTATATCTTGTAGGGAGCTGAGTGCTAGGGCTGGGACTTGGACTTGAGAGACTGCTATGAGCTAAGTGCTGCGCGAGGGAGTGCTAAATTTAAATTACATAACCACAACTTTCTTCTTCTTCTTATGACATACAGCCAAAGACCACAATCTTCTTATTTTTTGTTTCTGGATATTTTTGACTCTTTCTAGTCTCTGACACTCTCAGCAGTTTGGTCTTCAATCACAAATTTCTCCTTTTTTTTCTGGATCTCTTTTAAGACTCGTAATCATTGACTCAAATATGGCCAGCTTCTTCTTTTTTACTTTCTGGACAACTTTTCTTCTCATTTGTGAGATAGTTCACTTTAGTCTGTAGTGATGTCAAAAATGTCAGAATTGTCACTATTGTCAGATAAATTGTTGATGTTGATTTGTTGATTGTTGATTAATTGTGAGAAGGTGAAATAAAAATTCATCATTGTTTAATTTCGTGTCTTTGAGGAAGCATAGAAAAAGTAAAATCAACGATAAATTGAGAAGTTCACAGGGTGCAAGAAAGATCATTTGATTGGGATGTCGGATAATGGAGAAATGGTGAATCAGGAGCAAGACAATGAATCTGATGATAGAGGTTTGCGGAAAAGAAATTTGGTTGTATCGGCACAGAAAAAGTTTGAACAAGGTAAGTTTAGTGATATAATATTGATATTGTTCTGAGCTCCGATTTCTGTGCTGTTGTGTGAAACAGGTATTTCACATTTCTTACATATATGTCCCTCAATTTCAGCTTCACAACTTCTTAAACGAAAAATTCCTTATTCTGGACACTTCCTAGCTCCAAAGAGACTATGGTTAAAAAGAGTGTCAACTCCCAACTGTGATGTTGTAATGGTTTTTCCATCAGGAGCAAAAGACTCTGTTTTATTATGGTTACTTTCCAAGTTGAGACAATCACCTGGACTAACTATCCATGTCCGACACCATTCTTCCAATCAGAGTAGTGCATTTTATCTCTCAGCACCATTCTCAGTGTAAGCAACAGTTTTTCAGTGTTTTTAGTGGTGGTATATTTACCAAATCATCAATTGCAGTTTATTGAAAGCAGCTGAAGAGTATCATCTTCCAAAAGCACTCAAACAGGACAAAGGGGGTGGTCTGAAAGAGTTTTTTGTTCAGGATTTCACATCTTATGAGGGTTCAAATGATGAGAAGCACTTCTTCTCAACAGAGGAGAGGCAGTGGCTTGTTTTACATCTTTTGGAAAGTATTAGGGCTAAACCCAGTGATATTGATGTTATATCTGACTTGGGGTTGATAGAAGGACAACCAATAAGTAAGAGTTTCATCAACTATTCAGTTGTTCAAATGGTAACTCAATTATGTTTTCAGTTCCAAAATGTCTTACTGGAGGTGTTATATCCCAAGTGTTTCCCTTACATGAACCAACTGCTTTAGAAAGACTGCAGAATTCCTGGGTTAGAGATGTTTGTGCTAGACAGCCTTTAGGTGAATATTCAGAGGAATCACTAATGAAAAAATAATGAATATGATATTAATACAAATTTCAGATGAGATAACAGAGTATTTTGGGGTCAAAATCGGCATGTATTTTGCTTGGTTAGGTCACTATACCACTGCTCTTAGCATTCCAGCAGTGTTTGGTTTCATATTTTGGGTAAAAGAAATATTTATCTGCACCATATTTTCATTCACCTAATGATATTTTTAGTTATGTTGTAATGGAAAACATCAAACTCTTGAAGATGTCGGCTATGTTCTGTTTTCATTGTTCAATGTTGTTTGGGTGACTACTTACCTGCAAGCTTGGAAGAGATATTCTGCTGAATTGGCATTCAGATGGGGTACCTTGGACCAAAGGGATGATCTCTTGGCTGAACCAAGACCTCTGTTTCGGGTAGGTCCATAAATCAGTTTTATTAAATAGTGTAGTAGCTTCAGCTTCACTAGGTTACTACAAAATAAAGTCATTTAATTGGCTTTTAACAAGAGTGTCATTGAAATATTTTCAATTTAGTCTTGGTTTCACATTAAAAAAAGGATGCTTTTGGATAGCAGCAGCATAGTCCATCCAGCTATCAAAACAGAGAAAATATAAGAGTTTCCTCATCAACATTCTATGAACTCACAATAATTTTTGAAGCATTGCATTTTTTTGATCTGAATCAAAGTATTTATGTATACCACATGCTTGAAGCCATGACAAAGTATTCTTTGGGAGTATGGTACATATTACCAAAGAAAACAAATTAGTTATAGTGGATTTTTTGCTTCATAATTAAATACCTGAATGCAGTATGTCTCTTTGAAAGTCAGAAAGAACTGATTATATTTTAATGATTTCAACAACTGATGTTCCACTTTGAGCAGCATCACCCTGTATTTTCATATTCAATGACATTTCAAGCAAGAAACAGTTCAGGACAGTACATGATACAACATAGTAAAAGGTCAAATCTTGTCCAAACATGAACTTGTACTACTCTAGTCAGCTCTAGTACTTAATTTTATCTATATTCCTAGATACAATACCGTCAACTTTTCTTTATTTTCTTTCCAAATATTGTTCAGATACCCCTTGAACACTTATCTAGTAGTTTTTTTGCAGTTATCATAATATATACAATATTGTTTGTACCAGGAATCTATCATTTTTCAAGTTATTTACACTCACCAGCATAAAAAACCGGCCACCAAAAAATTATTCACCCTGTAACTATTTTAATCTTCCAATCAGAATTCTGAAAATTGAACCAACCTGTATCTGTTCTGATTAAATATCAGTAAATAGTTAATCAAAGTTGAGATAGGGACATATTATGAGCCGTTTTGACCGATAATGAATAGTTTTGGACACAAAAAATCCTAAAATTGAAAAATCTCGATTTTGAACACCCTATACCTCTGTGACCATTTTCAATAGACCCCAAGTGTGATGTATCTATAAAATCAGCTCTTCAGGAAGAATCTAAAAATGCGATGAAATACAGGGTGTTCCTTTTGAAATATCAATGTTGCTACTACTTTCTAGTAGAAGCGGCAACACTGCATTGTCGAAAATATTTTAAATAAAGAGAGCGTTTCCTAAAATATAGGCATAGCATGCACATTTTCATGGATTTCTCCTGACTGATTCTGTAAATAAAGATAATGTAAGCTCATTGTGACATACCCTGTATATAAAAAATCAGTTTGAATCTGTTGGTTTGCATTAGATATTATCTTCCTTCTTTTGAAAGTTTTATAATTCAGATTTGGTACAAATCATTTACTGTGAAAAACTAGAAATTTTGAATGACCTTTGGTGATTCTTGATAAAGTATATACAGGGTCATTCACCTAACTAATTCATCAGATGTTCATAGAGAACCAAAAGAGACATCAATCTGAAATTTTGGATACAGCCAATCTCGATTTGGAACACTCTATGTCTCTGTAATCATTCCCGCTGGACCCCAAATTTATATCTCTTTTGGTTCTCTCTGAACATCTTATGAATTAGTTAGCTGAATGACCCCATTTAGCAAATAATTCCTAATTCTGCACTTCCAAATGAGGCCACTATTCATTTATTTACCTTTCATTGCAAATTCGATAATCTGGATTGAAATATAATGAAAATTTTTAAAAATTTTTAACCTAATGATCTGAATTATTCCATATCAAACCTATTTGTCTATGAATTATGATTTTGTCAAAATATATAGTTATTTATTAAACAAGGCAAAAAAGTAGTAGATTTTAGCTCGTGAAAAAACTGTACGCTTAAATCTTATATTTTTCCCGTGCATAATGCACTATTTTTTCCTGTGACAGGAAAAAGGACGAATCAATATTAAGGAGATATAGCATATTAAAATCAGAAAGGTATCGACATGGAAATTGAAGTTTTTTTACAGCAATTGCAGGCATCTTTATCATTCTTTTGAAGTAATTAAATATCTGTCAGTCAAATTGTGTGATCTGATTATGAAAAATTGCCAAGGTAGTGGTTGTTTGGGACCAGTTTTATTTTTGTTCTACATAAATTCAATATCAAACTTGGAATTGAGAGGAAAACTTAAATTATTTGCAGATGACACGACATTGATTTATTTTTCTAAAGATTCAAATAATATTATCATGGACATGAAAAGTGATTTAGAGAAAATATCCTCTTGGTTACAAGTTCATAAACTATCTCTCAATTATAACAAATCCTCATATATGTACATAGCAAAAAAAACATTGAACATTTCAAATAGAACACTATCCTTCAACAATAAACTCATCAAATATACAGATGTTACAAAATTTTTAGGTCTTTATATTGATGAACGACTATTGTGGAATAAACATATAGATCATTTGAGGAACAAACTTAATCCTTATTACAGGCATTTTATTCAAAATACGAAATTTCATTTCTACCAGATACTTGAAGAGTATTTATTTCTCTCTTATTTACTCAAAATTTCAATACCTAATATCTATATGGGGAAGTACCAATATTTCACGTTTGAGTCCACTAATGAAATTACAAAATAAAACATTGAAGTGTATTTTCAATTTAAATTTTCTCGAACCAACCATGAATTTATACAAACCTAGAGATTTATTAGATCTGACATCACTATATAAACTTAAAATATGTTGTTTTATTCAATTTGTCCTATATAAATTGAAAATTTCGAATTTAAATTTCAATGAAATCAATTCATTACATAATCATGGAACAAGACAATCAAATTCACTAATAGCAAATACGTTCAAGTCAAATATCGGCAAACAATCAATTTTTCACAAAGGAATCGTTTCATACAACTCATTACCAAGTCAATTGAGGAATATACAGGAAGAAACTAGATTCAAAATTAACTTAAAAAAATATCTGCTTCAGAGACTTTGATAATTCCATTTCTTATTTGAATACCTACTTATAAAAGACTAGGTTGATATTGCATGATTATTTGCATTTTTTTTTAACTTGTTATATCTTATTATAATTCCATAATTGTATGTATAACATTATGTATATTGTTTATGTATCCCTATTATAAACAACTATGTTTCTTGGGGTAATAAAGACAATCAATCAATCAATCAATCAATTTACGTATCCGAGAAGTGGAATGGCGGATAAAAGGTATTCACAGTTCTT